TCTGCCATTAGCACTAGTTCTACTTTCTGGACCACAGAGATCTCCTGCATCTAAATCCCTTCCCTTGGAGATAGTCCCCAGCTATTAGAAATGATGCTATTCTGACTCCTCCACATCTGTTATTCCCAGCCTGAAGAGGCCTGATAAGTCCTTCCAGTTATTTTGCTTCTTGGTCAGGCTTTGCTTGGCAGGCATTTCTGGAAAGCTCTGGACCATCTGTTGGCTGTAAAGGTTTCACGTTAAATGTGTGTCTGTAACTTAATACAGGGCTCAGATATGCTTCGAAAGACTGAGTCTTGAATGGAATTCTGTTGGATTATTAATGCATAATGCATTAGTTTCATTTAACCTAGAAAGTTTCATGAGCTATTGCTTCTTTTCCCAGCAGGTGATGGTTTTGATAAGTTTCTAAAGAAATCAGAATTTCTAGGACTCTAGGTCAGCTTCATTCTACTCATGGATGTGTTGTCCTTATTGATTATTGCTTTTACTTCTTTTTAAAAGTTTTATTTATTTATTTAATTCCATTTGTTATTATTATTATTATTTCATTTGACCAGAGAGAGAGAACGGGAAAGTGAGAAAGTAAGCTGCTAGGTCTGGGACTTGAACCGCAGTGGGCCATGTGAGAATCCAGCACCTTTAACCACCAGGTCACCTGCTGGCCCCTATTGCTTTTACTTCTTTTTTTTTTGGAGAGGTTTTTGCTATAGGGCGCGTGCGCTCGCCAGACAGGTAGAGAGAGACAGAGAGACAGAAAGCAAGAAATCACTCCCCAGGGGAGATGGTCACGCCGCAATCCCTTCTCCTCCATTCTCCTCTCGGGATCTTGGGCACGCACGCACATGCGCCCGGCGTGAGTTTTAAGCCACTGGGTCCGGGACACGAACTGTGGTCAACTACGTGGGAGTCCAGCGACATAGCCATTACGTTAACTGCTGGTCCCTTGCTTTTACTTCTTAAGGTCTTCTTTTCAAGACCATTTCATTTGACATTGTTTGTTTTGTTTTGTTTTATTTTTTAAGAGAGATTTTTTGTTATAGGACATGTGTGCTTGCCAGAGGCAGAGAGTGACACAGAGAGAAATTACCTCTCAGGGGAGTTGCCATGCCTCAGTCTCTCCCTCCATTCTCCTCTTGGGATTTTGGACATACATACACACCCAGCATGAGTTTCAAGCTGTAGAGTCCAGGACTCAAACCATGCTTGGCCATGTGGGAGGCCAGTGTCTCAGCCACCATGTCACTGCTGGCCCCTTGACATTGGATATTAACCCTACATGGAGGTGCTAAGGTGATTTGAAAAGTGGAAGGGAAGGTCCTGTTGGTATGAAGTACAGATGCGAAGCAGCACATGCATACTCTAGAAGGAAAGTACAGTGGTACAAAGGGGTGCTTTCCAAGCACCGTGCTAAGCCCTTTGTACCCATGATCTCACGTGACCTTTGCTACAACCCTGTGAGATGAGAACTACTGTGGTTCCCATTTAGGGCCGAGGGAGTGATGCCAGTGCCACACAACTCGGAGGGCCAGAGGTGTGCTGCAGACCTAGACATGCCAGGCTCAAGGCTGATACAGCTCTTGCCATATTGACAAGAAGCTCATGCATTACACTTTATGCCACCTATAGCTGAAATGATCAGGTGGACTTTTATAATCTACTGAGGTGTACCGCGTATTTTCCATCTTTTTCTTTTTTTTTGGAGAGATTTTCACTGTAGGGCGTGTGCGCTCGCCAGACAGACAGAGAGAGACATAGAGACAGAAAGCGAGAAATCACCCCCCAGGGGGGATGGTCACGCCGCAATCCCTTCTCCTCCATTCTCCTCTCGGGATCTTGGGCACGCACGCACACGTGCCCGGCGTGAGTTTTAAGCCACCGGGTCCGGGACACGAACCGCGGTCGACCACGTGGGAGTCCAGCAACATAGCCATTACGCTAACTGCTGGTTCCCCGTATTTTCCATCTTTTACAGAGCATACTAAACACAAACACATTTATTTGACAGGCTGTGGTGATGGCACTGACATTCTCTGTCTTTTTTTTTCTTTTCTCCCCTTAAAGGAATTATTTTATTTAACTGTATTCATCCATTTAATTTGACCAGAGAGGGACAGAGTGAGAGAGAGAGGGAAAGTGAGAAAGCAAGCCGCCAGGTCCGGGACTCAAACCGCAGTCGGCCATGTAGGAGTCCAGCACCCCCAACCACCATGCCACCTGCTGGCCCCATGGCACTGACATTCTAAACATGAATTTTCATGTTCCTTCCTATGAATATGAATCTTATTCTTACTTGTGTATCTAGGACCAATGATATTCCAGGCAATCAAATGTGATTGAAATTAGCACAAGCATGCATGTGAGGGGATTTCAGAAAGTTCATATAAAAATGGAATTAAAGGATGAATTAATTTTGGTGAAAAGAAATTTGAAATCCATGCATTTTTTTTCTCATAATATCTGTTCTCCATGAACTGTTTGAGGAGCCTTTGCACATAAATGAGTACATGAATGAATGGGATTGTAAAACAGCAATGACCTGTTTTTAGAGCTGTTTGCCCTTACACTAAATCCTCCACAGACTGTTTCGTTTTATGAGTTCTTGTGTCCGCTCTTTAGAACCTTTTTCCTTCTTCAGTATCAGTGTTCTGAATAGAACATCAGTAGACATGAAGTCTGCCCCTAGCTCTTTTCAAATGGGAGAGAGTAAAAGGAAGTTGCCCCTGGCAATTCAGATCATTGTGTCCAAAGGAGAGAAACAAACTCAGGTGTAGTTCAGGCCATGACCACTTTCCAGGACTTTGACCCACGGTGTGAGGTCTGGCTGCAGGGGCATTGGCAGTACGGTCTTGGTCCGTGTGCAAGTCATCAGGTAGGAAATTCTGTCTCAGTGAGCACGGGGGTGGGGGGGGTTGGGGGGGTGTCTCAGTGAGACCTTCTGTTGACAGAGTGGAGAGAGTCAGTCCCCTGCCGGATCTGCTCAACAGTTGAGGTCAGGGTGTAATCCTAGGGTGGAAATGAAATGAGGCTCCAGGAAGGAAGGGTCCCAGGGAGGACCTGAGTAGTTTAGACAGAAAGTCGCACTCTGTGTTACACATCCTGGAACGGACTTATCCAAGGAGGTTTGCCCAGATTCTCCCAGAGGGGAGGTTAGGTTCTTTCTAGGAACTTTGACCCCAGGCATGGAAACAATAGTGGGTTTTCAGATGCCCTGTTCTTTAAGAAGTCCATAAAATACTCTAGAAATTGGAGTTTCATGGGACTGAACCTCAGGAGAGAAGCCTGTTGTGCTTTCACCAGAGCAGGGCAGAGCTGGACAGTAGCAAACAACAGGAGAGATTGTTGATAATTCTCCTTCGGACCTCCTGCCCTCCAGTTTGTTAATGTCACTCTCCAAATACACTGCCCTGAGCTGAAGATGAGGCTGGGGATACTGTGCCAGGAAGGCACTGGTTTGTGGTGACCCGTAGGGGCTGATGCTGCACCAGGCCCTGTTCTAAGTGCTCGGTTTTCACACCTGGTTTACCAACACCACCTCTTTCTGCTGCCCCGTCAAAATATAGAACATTTCCATTACTCAAAACTCCCTTCTCTTTCGATACATGTTTATTACTTTCCGGTTGATTTATTGGGTGAAGAACTGAAATCACTTTGTGGGTAGTACATCTCCTTTCTGTAAAACATTTAAAATGAGATATTGACAAACCGGGTGGGACTGTTCAGAATGGGGAAGGATCCAGAGACCATGTCATACAAGAAACGTGTCAAGGAGGCAGTGAGAACGAATGTGACTGGTCTTGATATGGTAGCTCCAAGGAAAAATCGGAAACTTGCTCCCGGTTAATCAGGAAGCTTAGCCAAAATGCTGTAGGAGACCATCACATGGACCTGTAAAGGCAACCCAGCATTGGGGGAAAGGGTTCTCGGAGACCCTTTGGGGAAGTCCTGGGTCTTAGGCTAGGCAATCATGAACGGGAAGGATGTGAAGGAGGAAGAAGAGAGGGGATTTTCCCTCGTGCCTTAGTGACTCCATCCTGCAGTAGTTCATCTCAGCTCTTCCTGTGTTGTTTTCTCCACCACACTCTTCACACTCTTCTATCTATTTCCAGATAGATTCACTAACAGCTCTAAGGCTGCTTTTTAAACTCCTGGTCTTCCTGATCACAAATCATGTCGGTTTCAGAATTCTTGGGTATAGTGGGAATGGTAAGGTGGACGCATGAAAGGAGAATGTCTAGTATTAAAAGACACACCTGGAAGTAGAACCCTTGGTTGAATTTGACTGTTAGTCAGACACGGATTGGGCAAGCCCCCTTGCTCCTTAGCCTCAGCTTTTGCACGCCTGTAAAATGTGAGTGTACAAGGATTTTTGAAAAGGTCATGGGAAAAATGTCATGGGCTTCAATTTTTGCACCAAAATAATTTTGTACTTCAAAACAATTTTTGTAATTGCCAGAGGTTACCTGCACTTGCCAGAGAAAGTACCCCGTCCCCTAGCCCATAGGGTGTGGTCATGTCACAGATTCCTTCTCCTCCGTTTCTCCATTCTGTTGGAATTTTGGACATGCGTACACATGTGCTTGGCAAGTCTTTCCAGCCATGCCACATCCAATGGGATGTGGTCCAATCACAAACATCTTCTCCTCCATTTCACCTCCTCTTCCTCCCCATGGGGGATGATCATGCCACAGACCCCTTCTCCATTTCTCCATCCTGTTGGAATTTTAAACATGCATGCACATATGCTTGTCATGTCTTTCAAGCCACCAGAGCTAGGATTTGAACTGTGGTTGGCTCCGTGGGATCCAGCCCCCTTAACCACTAAGCTACAGGATCAGTCCAATAAACATGTACTTTAATTCCATTTTCCACCAGTTTTTTGGAGTCCCCTCAGATGAGCATGTGTATGTGTGTGTGTGTGTGTGTGTGTGTGTGTGCCCCACGTTCTAAGGATTCTTTGAGGATCAAGAAATAGTGAACATAAACTGTTGTTGCAGCTATCAAAATACAAAGTTTTATGATTATCACTGTTGCCATTGTTACAATTCTATTTACTAGGCCTAGTTTAATTTGGAAGCTTTTAAATTCACAACGCTTTATATAGTGGTGCCATCACCACATTGGGCCTTAAATAGAGATGATGCCCATCATTTTGCAAAGGTCGCCTACCCCAGAGTCACATGGGACCAGAAAACAAATCTTGTTTAGTAACTGGTTTCAAGTACTGTCAGCTTCACATGGAAGTCTCTGGCCAGTTCTCGCACACCATGGGGCCGTTTCAAAGGAAAACGCTTAGTCTTGACCTGAGAGCAAACATGCTGCTTCTCTTTGCCACTCTCTTCTGAAAGGAAAAGAAATTCTGCTTATTCGGGCGTTCTGAGCCTGTGTATCAGCCTGTTCTAATCCTGTTTCAAGCCCTTTTCTGCTTGTCCCATTTTAAAGATAGGATAATGGAACACCTAGGTTTTTATACTGCCTTCTGTTTTAGGACTTTCACAGTTTCCTAGAAATTTGACCATGTAGCATTAGACTTTCTCTATTCCATAGGTTTGCGTAAAAAACAGCATCCATTTACATTCTTCTTGACATTTTGATGGTAAGAAAAATATTTGACTTTATTTTTAGGGCAAGTCACATGACAGAGGGAATAACAAATATTTGTGGTTCCCCTGGGAACGCAGCTTCTAGATATTACTGATTATGGAAAAGAGGAACAGATTTGGAGAGGGGGCAGTTTGGTAAGGAAGTAGTAGAACAGCAAGAGGTCTGAAAAGAGGAATGGAAGAGGTAGGGGACCTGTACAAAAAATGAGGCTTTCTACTCGATTTCTGATTGTCTGCATCTGATTACTGTAGCCTTCCTGCCTTCCCGAGGAAGGCATTTAGTGGGATAGTTATGTAAGTAAGTGCCTTTTTTGCTCATTTTGTTTTAATTGTATGAAAGAGCAGGACAGCATTCGCCAAATTGCCCACAGGTCCGGCAGGTAGTAAAGATTGGGGATACTGCAGCCCAGAAAACCTGCTTCCTGTGTGAGTTCCGACGTCACTCTCGAACAGCCCGCTGTGTGTGACATCCGCTGACAGGGAGCCGGCTCTCCACAGGATGGTTCCATAGATGGTGCAGACTTCGTGGGCCATGAGGGGTGTCTCACAAAGCATCCACTCTCACTGCTAGCTCTTGGCCCTGGCCAGCCTCAGAGACATGGGGACCCGTACGAGTTCTGTGTAGAGAATGGGGTAACTGTTCAGAGTGGAGGACTGGCAAAAGCCCTCAGGTTCTGTGTCCCAGCTCCCTCCAGATTTGGTGGAGCAGGAAGTGGCAGTTCTGGAGGCCGGTAAGCACACAGCCTGCCCGTGCCCTGCTCCTCCGGAAACATCAGCATACACCCAGAGCACCCGGTGCCTTCTGGAGAGGACCGGAAGGCCTCAGTGCTCTGTCCCCTGGATCGAACAGACAGTGAAAGCGGGAGGAAGTAAAGCTGAAGCCCGGGCAGTGGTGGGCATGCATCGGGGTCTGCAGGGCTCCAGGGCTCTCCCTGCTCCTCTCTGCCAGGCCAGGGCAGTGACGAGGGACACGCGTTGGAGAGTTTAGGCCTATGGAGGTGTGTTGTGGGGAGGTACGAGGTGACAAGGACTGGGCGCAGTTACCTGAGGTGATGGAGAAGTCAGAAACACAGGCTTTACAGGTGCGTTTCAGAGACTCATGGAGTAGGAATCCTTTTGATGATGCACAGCAACCACCCAAATGACCAGACAGTCACTGTGAACGTCCTCCCCACACCCGACCCCATCATTTTCATTCTCAAAACTCAGCTTTTCTCTGTCTCTAGTGCTCTGTCTGCACCTGCTGCTGCAGGGGCTGGACAATGTCCCTCTGTTGTTACAACTTGTGTTCAAGAGGGGCTCTTGCTGCAGGCCAAGGCCATTGATGTCTATAAATCAATCCGTAAATGAATGAGTGAGTGAATGAATAAATAAGGCGGTGGGGCCGTCTCCAAGCTTCAGATGAACCTATCTCCCAATCCTAGCTCTGCTCTCACTGGCTGTACAACCTTAGGCAGTCAACTTTGCTTCACTATCAGTTTCTTACCCATAAGACGGGAAATGTTAATTCTTCGTTTTAAAGTTGTCGTAGGACTGAGGGAGACAGCAGCCTCAGCCCATAGCTGGCTTCGGCTCAAGCAGCGATTGCGGCGATAAGCTCATGGGTTACGAGTCTGGCTATGAAACCAGCCTGACAACTTGTGAGGCAGAAACCACCTGAGATAACTGTTCGCAGAAGATGACCACATTAACAGGCCACCCCCCGGTGAAGGAAGTGAGTGGGCGGCTAAGTGAGGGGGATCAAAGTTAAATGAGTGTCAATTCCTCCTAATAACTGAAAGCGTAGAACTCTCAGTCAGAGGGGCTCGTGTTCAAAGGCCAACTCTGTACTTACCGTCTGTGTGACCACGAGCACGTTATTAAACTTTCCGCCCCGTTCCCCCGAGTGCACAACTGGCCAGTGATAGCGAGAGTGTGCAGAGGGCGTTACAGCCCACCTAGAGCGCTTAGCGCAGCGCCAGCAACACAGCAGGTGGCTGTGAGGATGGCAGTCCTGCTTTCTGGTGCCTGGGTGCTGCCTGAACGCTTTGCTCTCAACTGCCTAGGGATGGTCTGCTCCTCCCCTGCCTCCAAACTGCTGTTCTTTCAGTTCAGCTTTGCCGCAGCCAGGGTTGGTGAGAAGGACTGAACAGTTTCCCTTCACCTTTAAGGTCATCAGGGCTATATCGCTTCTTAATTCCACCAAATTAGAAATTAGTAGAGCAAGAAGCAAAGGAGGATGGAGCACGTACTTTGAACCCAAGGACTTCCGTGTTGCCTTGAAAAGGAGCCTAAAACACAAGCTTGGAGGAAGGGACAGGGTCATTAGGAGAGGAAAAGGGGTGTGTATACCCTAAACCTTCCTGCACCCTGCTCCTTTGACTGTGAACGTGAATGCTGACGTTAGAACCTGAGGATGATGCTGCTTCCCAGCGGAGAGGATATCTCAGGACTCGTGCCCATAAAGCCTAGTTTCCAGCTTCCAGTGCCCACTGTCCGCAGGCAAAGGTGGTTCCTAAAACAACAAATCCGACAACGAAAGGTATCAGCGAATGTCGAAGTGGCAGGAAACACCAAATCCAACCTAGGCTTCTCTATCATCAGAAAAAAATAAAACCTGGAAGTCTGAGAAACTTAAAATTTTCAACACCATTTACAGATACACAAAACCTCTGTTAGGGACCGGCAGGTGTCCTGGTGGTTAAGGGTGCTGGACGCCCACATGGCTAACTATGGGTGAGTCTCAGGCCTGGAGGCGCGGTTTCTCTCTTTCTTCCCTTTCTCTCTCTCTCTCTCTTTGGAAACATTAAATAATAATAATAAATAAAGTTAAATAAAACAATTCTTTAAAAAACAAAAACAAAACCTCCGTTAGGGTGGTCTTTGTCATGGGCTGTGAAAGCATTTACAAACTCTGAGAGAAAGCAGATAGAAAAGGATTTTTTCACTTTCCAAGGCAGAAAGCGGGCCAACTGGGGATAGTTACATCAGCCCTGAAGGGTGCACGCAAGGAGCTTTTATTAGGACTTAAGGAAAGGAGGGGTCAAGGCAGAGTAGTTAGGGGATCCTGGGACGAGACATCTGTTGGTCCTTGGGTTGTTTCCTTGTAATCTGTGGGTGTCATATCTGGCTGCCGTGGTCTGGCATGTATTTCGTTCTTAGTTTTGGTGCCAGCTGCTGGTGGGTATGACAGTCTGTCTGAGGGCAGGAGCTCAAACAGCCAAAGAGTTGATGCTTTGTGAGAGACACCCTTCGTGGCCCACTTCTGCAGTGAAGTCGAGAGGGGAGCGACCAACTTGGAGGGAAAAGAAAGAAAGAGGAGGAGAGTGCCTGAAGCACCTGGTGGCTGTCAGTGGGCCTTGTAGTTAAAATCTCTAAGGCACCAGGCCAGCAGACGGCATGGTGGTTAGGGTGCTGGACTTCCCCAGGGCTGACGGCGGTTTGAGTCGTGGACCTGGCGGCTTGAAAAATCACACCAGGTACATGTGCATGTGCGTCCAGAATCCCAGGAAAAGACTGGAGGAGAAGGAATCGCAGTGTGGCCACCTGTTCTTGTGGAGGTGATTTCTCATTTTTCCTCCCTCTGTCTCCTTCGGGCAAATGCACATACCTTGTGGCAAAAAACTCAGAAACAAAAACAAAAATCAAAAACTAAGACACCAGTGAGACACTGAGTTAACCCCGTTTTTTAACCCTAAGGTGCCTTAAGAGACTTCTGACCCTTTCGGTCTCTGATTACTTGGGTATCACATATTTACATGTTTGATTTTATGTATTGATTAAAATGGACTTCTGGCCTTGTGAACCATAATCATCATCTTTACAGTCATTGAATTTATGGTTCATATGGAAGTTTCTTAGCTATTATTCAATTCAATTTAATCATCTTAACTGTGACCGATAGGTATTATCATTTATCTTCACTTTAAAACTGAGAGATAGAGGTAGAGAAAGTGACTTACTCAAGATCCCATAGCTACTAACCTCTGAGCTTCGTTTTGCTTTGTTTAGATTTTTGCCATAGAGCACATACACTTGTCAGAGAGACAGAGGGAGCGGGAAAGTGAGAAATTTCCCCCCTTCTGGGTGTGGGGGGGCATGCTGCAATTTATTCTCCATTCTCCTGGGATGTGGGGCATGCTTGCACACACACCTGGCATGTTTTTCAAGCCTCTGGGTTCAGGACTCAGACCACAGATTTTGCCATGTGGGATCCAGTGCTTTAACCACCAAGCCACCTGCTGGCCCTGTTTGGCTTTTTGATTTAGGTAGTGAGCTACCAATATAAGAATGATGCATGAAAGACCAGCAGATGTCATAGTGGTTATGTTGCTGGACTCCCATGTAGTTGACAGTGGTTCGAGTCCTGGACCCGGCTGCTTAAAACTCACACCAGGCACATGTGTTGTGCATGCTCAAAATTCCAAGAGGAGAATGAAGGAGAAGGGATTGCAGAGGGGCCATTCCTTCTGGGGATGATTTCTCGCTTTCTGTCTCTTTGTCTCTCTAGCCCATAAAAAAAAAAACCTTCGCTTAAAAAAAAAAAAAAAAAAAAAAAAGAAGGAAAGAAAAAAGGATGACACATGAAGAGGTAGTGGACTATGACCTTTGCATTTTCCAGTGAAGTGTAGTTAGATGTATTAATTTCCAGGAAGAAGCTGGTGGAGGAAAAGGAGAATAAATCTGTGACTTTTGTTTTTTTAACTGCTAGATGCCAGGTACACTTACCAGAGACAGAGAGAAAACGGAAGCACCCTCCACCCCAATGTGGCATGGTCATGCCACAATCCCTTTTCCTCCATTTCTCCATCCTGTGAGAATGTGGACATGCACACACGTGCCCAGCATGTTTTTCAAGCCTCCGGGGCCAGGATTCGAACCACAGTCAGTCATGCAGGATCTGGCTCCCTTAACCAATAGATGATGAGAAACTATGATTTGTTGATTACTTTTTTGGGGATTTGATCAATCTAATATTTGAAGCTTTATTTTAACCAAGTGTTTCAAACTAAAGCTTAATTCATTAAAATAGACTTACTTCTATGCTATGTAAACAAAACTCTAAAAGTTGCAGAGACCTTGGAAGAACAGACCTCCTAATGGCAAAGGACAGATTTTTTATTCAACTATACTTTTTATTCAAAGGTACAGCTATTTTAGGAGCGAGAGGGAAAGTTCGAGATCTTGTTTGTATGTAAGTATAGAAATGTAGAATTGGCAGATCTGTAGGGGACTCTGGTGAGAATATACAGGAGAAAAAATGGAAAAGACCTCGTCGTGTGAAATAACCCACCCCAGTTAAGTGGAGGCTCTGGTTGAAGGGTTTCTTTTCTAAATTACACAGCTGAGAAAGAAGCAAAATAGACTGTTGCTGTATTTCAAGTTAGGGTCAGGTTGTGTACTGGATATGCAAATTATTATTATTTGAAAGATGTCCTTCCATCTCGGTCTTCGAGAGCTTGCTTAACCTATATCACTTGCATTTTTCTAATTTGTTAACCGGGTACTAAAATAATACTTACCTACTACGTTTTTTGAGAGTATTCAATGAAAAATATTACGAGATCTTGTGAGGTGCCTGGTACAAGAAAGAGTATACTGGATATGAGTAATATTTTCCTTCATTAGCCTTCCCAAACCTCTTTCATTTATGAACATTCTGAAACACTGTAACCTTACCTCATTGGGAAGGTACTGTAAATCTCAGAACGTTAGAAAAGTATTGATTTTTCTTTTAGATATCTTTTGCAAATTAGAGGAAGATATCAGTGTCTTTTATTCAGAAGAGAAATATGTTTGAGAAGGCGAGAGAAATGACAGTGCAGTTAGTCACTAATAAACCTAACAGAGGGAAAAACAGAAGGCAACCAAGCACATGGCCTCCATTTTTTTTTTCGCTGTAGGGCGCGTGCGCTCGCCAGACAGACAGAGAGAGACAGAGAGACAGAAAGCGAGAAATCACCCCCCAGGGG